GGCCTCTGCGCGGGTAGCTGCGCGCCTCTGCCTGGGTCGGGTCGCGCGGGGTCCCGGAAATTCCTAGGGTGATGGGGACCCGCGAGCGCCTCGGCTGTTCCGCTGCTGCGACCAGCTCCGCTCTGTGCGTCCTGCCGCAAGATCACCGTGGACGTGGCCTGAAACCGGGGAGCCGTTTAAGAGCCCTGCCGGGGGTCGTTTCTGGCGGAGAGAGTGCTCTTGTTTTGATGCCTGTCCCCTTTAATTTCTTAGGCATTAAGTTCTGCTCCAAACTGAGCTTTGAAAGCATTGGGGAATGTTCGAGTCCTTAATACTTAGAAGATCTTTGGTAGTTGCACATTCATTAAGTTACATAATCATCAGCACAACCTGTTGGGGTAGATGTTACTCCCATTGTATCGTTTAAGGAAAGGAGACCGAAGTGGCTTAAATGAGTCGGCCAGTGTCTTCCTGCTTTAAGTTGCAGTGTTGGGTCTTGAACCCAGTCTTCTAAGTCCAGTATTACTGTTGTGATTACAGTGTGTCAGGTGCCGCTTAATCTGAACAAAATCTTGCAAGATAAGTAGTATCACTCATCGGGTAGCAATAATGCATAGAATTTAAAAATCCATGTGGATTTGAATAAGTGAGGGAGCAGGGGAAACTCTTCCTTAGAGTAGGATTCCAAATGTAAGTGCAGAAGGAATAAGGGAAACAGAAAATACCTTCTGATAAACAGCACAGTAGTTCTTTCAGACAGCAATCATTAATGGATACTGAACTTAGTGGGCAGAAGTTTGATGAGCAACATGATATTTATATGGCCTCAACTCTCTCTCCACCAGATATTTACAAAGGAGAAACCTGGTAGGTAGGTAGATACCACTTTAACCACCTGCTCAAAATTCACATTGCCAGTAGTAAACCAGTAGTGAGACAGGTTAACCTCCCTTACCGCCTGATGTGAAGCACTGAGAAGGATGCATTATCCCTCCCTTCTGTGGTGTTCTTGCCAAAAATGCATAACCTCATTCTAACCAGAAGAAAAGATTAAACAAATTCAAATTGATGGACATTCCATAAAACAACTGGCCAGTATTTTTCAAAAATGTCAAGATCTTGAGAAAGAAGAAAGACAGGCTGAGGAACTGTCCCAGATTAGAGCAGTTGAAGGAGACAGGGCAACCTCCGCAGCCACCAGAATGTGAAGCACCTGCATCCTGAAATTTGCGTGGGTGCTTCCCATGGGCTGCTCCTAGCCAAGACAGAGCCTAGCCAATAACTGAGCGTATTGGGACTGTTCCTTAGGAAACCAGGGGCTTTAGCTTAAGGACTCCCAGAGGTCTTGCTGAACCTTCCTTAGACTGCATGGCCATTTAGGAGGCATCTACCTGATTTATCTCCCTCCTTCACTGTGTCAGATTTGCATGGAAGTCTGAAGTGTTCCCAGCTTTTATCAGCTCTGTCTCCATTTTTTTCTCGCACAGACATTTCTCCTAATAAAATATTTGTGGGTTTAATCCCATTTTGGTATCTGCAGAGTACCACAACAACCAAATGCAATGTGTTTTCCTTGGATTGGGTCCTGTCCAGAAAAATGGACATTAGTGGGATAATGAATGACATTTTAAGATTTTTAACTTTTTCTGTAGATTAGTTAAAAGTATTGTGCCAGTATTAATTTCCAGGTTTTGATAATTGTACTGTATTTACATAAGGTGTTAACATTGAGAGAAGCTGGGGGAAAAGTGTATGGGAATTCTAAGTCTGAAATTATTTCCAAATAAGTTTTTAAAAAGTTTTAAAGTTATATACAAGAGAAAACAATTATTCTATCACATCTAGGTAAAAATAACAAATGCGTGTTTGTTTTCCTATAATCCTCTGGCAAATGAAATGGTGACTACTCAAAATTTTTGGAAATGACAGTGATGGAAACGAGGAGATATGAGAATGACCTGAGGAGGGTTTTCAAATTACAGAAACTTAACGGCTTTTTACATTCTTCCCATTTCTCTCCAGCAGACTCCCTCAAATAGGGGTATGTTAATCTAGGGAGGAGAGTAAGAACACTGAGTATAAACAGTACCACTAGAAAAATAGACTGGAAATCTAAATACTCATCCAAACAACAGAATTGTTCCTAAAGGATTTTTTTAAATGATTATTTATTTAAAAATCACACCGTTGTAATTGTCAAAGAATTGTTTACTGTTCAGGGGCTGATTTAATTCCATATGATAGATACAGTGACGCTTGGTGATCAACTTGTGTACAACAGATTGGAAGTTGAATCTAGGGACCAGGAGCCCTTGCAGTTACAGCAGTAATTGTGAAAACTTTATTCTGTGCTAACACATCTTTTTTAAGTCTTTATTTTTTTTACATTTGAGCTAAGTAAACTGGAAATCACAATCAGGAATAAGTCAGTCCCAGATATTCTACGTAAAGAATAATCTGCTGTAGATGGGAAAGTTTTTTTCCAAGTGTCTCTGATTATCTTCCACTTAACCCCTTCCCATCTATCTGAAAACCACCAATTTAAGTGCTGAATTAATCATTGATGTTTGTAAATAAGTTAGACTTTCTTTACCCAAATGATTTTATTTGCACATATACAGCCTTTTAACTGTCAAATATATTAATATATGTTTTTAAAATTACCTTTGCTGCCTTATTTTAGTAGACTTTTTTTCCTTTTTAAAAATGCAGAACCTTTATATTTAAAGAACACAAAAATGAAAAGAAAGGTAGTGAATGCTGGTAAGATGAGATTGAGTCCTAATGAGGAAGCAGTCATTTTAAAAGAAGATTATGAGAGAAGACGAAAGCTAAGATTGCTACAGGTAAGATTTATTTGGAACAAAGTTCCAAATTCTTTGTCTTCTCCAAATTATTAGTATTTTTTACACTTCTAAATAAAATGTTGCACTTAAAAACCTTTTCTGGCTGTACAAGAGCCCTGATTCTTGCATACTAACTAGTTTTGGAACATTTGAAAAATAGGCTGAAATAGTAAGTAGATTGGAGCAGAGTTTGAGGATTAGGGTGATTTGACTCAATAATTATTGGAAGATAGCTCTTTAAGTGTTTTTTAAGTGATGTGTAACTGATGAAGATTAGAATGACTTTGAAAGATTACTGGAAAGATTATTAGCTGCTGAAACAAATTTATTAAGAAGTTAATAGATTTTCCTTTTCTACAAGTCTTTAGAGTAAGGTAGTTAAGTCCTTGTGAAGCATGTTTTAGGTGCCATTCTCCCTAGAATTGGGGATGATATACCATAGATACGGAGTTTTCATCTAGCTCTATCTATATTCATCTGGGCTATAAATTTTGTTGAATCATGCCTAACCATTTTAGCCTCTTAAATTAGGTTATTAGAATGATAATGGCATACCATTAGGGCTTGGGGGTATAATAACTAATCACTTAGGAAACTTTAGAAGATGTCTTGAGATTTTAGGATTTTTTTCTACATCACTTGGATTTTTTTTTCTTTTCTTTACATAGAGTTTATCTAATGTAATATGAATATTCAGGAGAATTGATAGATCTAAAGAGAATTCATTTATGCTTTTGTTTCCAAATAGCTTTTCAAAAAGTTTAAGTACTCTTTTCATATAACCTGTTAAATATTCATTCTTCAGGTTCGAGAACAAGAAAGGAATATTGCTTTTCAGAGAAGAGAAGATATAAAACAGAGGAGAAATTGGCAATTGACTCGTTTGGCAGAGGCACTGAGGGCAGAATGGGAAGAATCACAAACTCAGAAAATAAACAACTTGGAAAGACTGTATTTGGCAAGTTTAAGAAATATGGGAGAAGGACACCAACAAGCCAAAGAAAATGTAGGTGAACACTGATTTGACTGCTTGTCTGTGGTAGTAATTTTGGTTAGAAGTAAATTATAGTTGTTAAATGCTTGTCTGATAAAAAAATGTTTTCATAGATAGAATTTGGGGCAGCCCGAACTTTTTAAATTTAATGTAATTTAAGAATGCTGCTAGGTTCGTATCCTAGTAAGAGTCATGTCAAGTAAAATCTGTCTTCCTGTGAAGTTTAAATTATCATTCTCTTCCAGTCTTTAACTCTCTGGGTAATAAAATAGTAACTTTTTAAATCAGAAGTTGTTATTTCAAGCACCTTGGACAGAGTCAGTGGGGTGAATTCAAATTCCCCATTTTATTATCATTCCTCATACCTCGAAAACATGTATAGCTGAAAGTATATACACTTGGATTTCATTCACACATAGTAAAAAGTCTTTGATGACTTTCAGAGAGGCAAAGTAGAGCTTAACTCAGTATTTAAAACTGTCCCCTGAACCTTATTTTGTTGTTTATTGTGATTTATGGTTGAAAACCACAGGCATACCTTAAAGATATTGCAGGTTTGGTCTCAGACCACTACAATAAAGTGAGTCATGTGAATTGTTTGGTTTCCCGGTACATATAAATGTTGTGTTTACACTATAGTATAATAAGTCTACAGTCACATTATGTCTAAAAAACAATATACATACCTTAACTAAAAAGTACTTTAATGCTAAAAAATGTTAATCATCATCTGAGTCTTTTGGAAAATGGTGCCAACAGAGTTGCTTGATGCAGGGTCGCCACAAACCTTTAATTTGTAAAAGCCACACTATCAAGTGCAATAAAGTGAAGCACAGTGAAACGACGCATGCCTGTTTTAGACTGTTCTAGATTGCAATCCCAGGGACAGTCACACAAAATAAGCTAGTTCCAAAGAAGGCAAGTCTTTGATATCAAGCCACTAGTGAGGAAAAGAGATATCTTTAAAGAGTGTGGCAATCAAATTAAGTTCCGTGGTCCCTGGTTTTAGTCTGTGTTTTTAGTAATGGCCTTAAGTTCTTACATCAGATTTTTGTAGCTTCATTTATGCCACCATTAACTTTGTGCTTTAGTGCAGTGTTTCCTAAACTTTGGTCATTTGCATACCGCCTTCACGTTTTTTTGGCCCCTACTAGGGAAGTCACCAAGGGTTGTTCTGTAATACTACCTTTTAACCTTGATTAACATGATTTAACATCTTACATATATTTTTAGGAACCTGATTTGAATGCTCTGGCACAGCAGGCAGCAGAAAGAAAAAGAAAAGCAGAAGTGAGGCATAAAGAGGCCCTGAAAGTACAGAAAAAGCAAAAAGAAATGTCAATGAAACAAAAAACCTGGTAAAGTAATAGTTTTTACCATATTCTCCACTGAAACTAGTATGGTTAGAAGTAGAGGCTACATTGGATAATGTTTAAGCTACTGTTAAATAAAAGTCACAGTATATCCATTGTGTTTGTTAACTTGGTTTAATAATGCAGTGGGGCAGAGTGGTTTGCTTAGGTGAACATAGTAACAAATGAGCTTTCTCCTCTAGCCTGACTTTAGCAACAATTACTAAGTTCATGTAGAAATGTATGGCTAGTTCAGAATGCATGCCAACCAAAATCTCTCTGCCTTTGATGTAAAAAAAAGAAGAAAAGCAGTGTAATTAAGAACATTAAAAGAGGTTATAGATTCTTTGAAAGTCATTACTATTTTTGCATGTTGTAAAAATGAAAGATCCTATTACTAGTCAGCAGTGGTCATTTTATACGGTGGCCCATCTTTCTCTCTCTCTCTTTTTTTTTTTAACTCTAAACTAAGGAACATTAGATGTTTGTTATATTAGTCACCACTGTAGAGCTTTAAGTCTTTAGATACATCTCTTTCATTTGGTAAACATTTTCTTACATGTCTGTTTTGTATAGACTCTTTATTAAACAACACACTTGAGCCTGTGGGATCAGATTGGAGGATTTCTTGAGATCCTATGGCTTTTATATTTTTAACCTTAAGGGTTGTACTGTAATATTACCTAAGAAAGTAATTTATGCCATCTCTTGCTTTTTAAGGCACATAAAAGCTCGAAAGGAAGCACTGCTTGCAGAAAAAGAAAGATCTGCGAAAATTACAAGTCTGCCACCTCCTCCTCCAGCTCTTTTTGAGGTGAATTACTTTGAGTGTTAAGAAGAACTAGGTTATAATAATTCTTTACTATTAGAGTTCAGTGCAGATCAAAATATCATTTGCTTTAACTTTTAAAAAATTTATTAATTTTTAGAGAAAGTGAGAAACATCTATTTGTTGTTCCACCTATTTATGCATTCATTTGTTGATTCTTGTACGTGCCTGGACGAGGGATCGAACCCACAACCTTGGCATTTTGGGACGATGCTCTAACCAACTGAACTGCCCAGCTAGGGCCTAACTTAATTTAAATTGTACAAGTAACACATGCATATATCTGGAGTATTTAAAAATGCTAGGTATCATTTTACACAAAAATGCTTTAGTATGTATCTCTGCTGTATAAGGACTTTTTTTTTTAACATAATACTAATATTGTTCCCAATATCATCTAAAACACAGTCTATGTTCAGTTTTCCCCAGTTGTCTCAAAATATTTTTTTGTTATTTGCAAATCTGTAATGTTTTTGATTTTTAAAAAACTGAATAGTTTGGCCCATTTTAAAAAAAATGCCCTTTATTTTAAAAGTAACTGGATTATTTGCTCTGTAGACTTCCGCATTGTAAATAGTTACCATATTATAAGATAAAGAAATTAGGTTCATATAAGTTAATAAATATATGCAAGATTATGTAAAATGAGATAGGTCTCTGGGTAAAATGTGTGCTTTTGTGATTTGGAGCTTATTATTCTTTTAAATTTATCTTTATTGTTGGAAGTATTACAGGGGTCCCCTTTTCCCCCCCCATTAACCCCCTCCTCCACGCTTTTGCCCCCTCCCCAGGCCTTCACCGAACTATTGTCTGTATCCATGGGTTATGCATATATGCGTATAAGTTCTGTGGTTAATCTCTTCCCACCCCACCTCCCACCCCACCCCTTTCCCTCTGAGAATCATCAGTCTGTTACATGCTTGCTTTTGGAGCTTATTTTTGAAAACACATTTTATTTATTAAGTGATGAAGTGGAAATTAATTTGAAAAGGTATTGATTCTCTTGTTCACATTAGCTTTTTGTGGTTATTGAGCTGGCTATTTGGATGATTATCAAAATCAGTTATTTTTACCTAAAAGGTTAAGTAGAAAAGAAAACCTATAGAAACACAAAGATGTCTAATTTAGTTGTATACACATATATATTTTATGTATGTATGATCAACATAGGTACACCATATTTGCCTCTTAAGCCTTTCATGTTGTCAGCCTTCCTGCTTTTATGTTGAGCCATCTGCCATATAACATTTGATCCAACAAGATTCAAATGGAAGAGTCAGATTTCATTCACTCCCTCAGTACCATGTTAAAAGGCAGGTAGTTTTTAATCCATGATGCCTTAATTTCCCTTTGTCATAATTCCTAAGGTTCCTAACAAGCCAAAGGCAAAAATTTACAAAAAGCAAGAAAAACTGCATGATTTGGCAAGTATGAATAAATATGTTGGATGTATACTTTCCCTCCCCCCAACTTTTTATTATGAAAAGTTTCAAAGTACAGAGAAGTTAGAAGAGTACAATGAATAGCTGTTTGCACTGTATATAGATGGCAAATAGTTGTGCACATATGTATATATTTGAATGTAAATTGTAGAAATGACACTTCACCCCTAGTACTTCCACATGCCTCTTGTAATAAGGATATTCTCTTATGCAACCACAGTAACACCTTAAGAATATTAACATTAATTCCTTAAATCTATTTAATTAGTTTGTACTCAGAATTTTCCAGTTGCCCCTAAATTGTCTTATCTACAGCTCTTTTTTTTTTTTTTTTT